GTGTTGTATGAACTTCCCTGAAATCCACTTCTATTTTTGTCCCGAGCGAATACGGCAGTTTTTTACCGATATCTTAAAAACTAAAAGTGGTACAAAATCAAGATTTTTACCAAAAATTGAGCTTGGGAAGAGTGGAAAGAAAAGCCCATAATTAAAATTAAAATCCATTGTTTTACAATTTTTTTTCAACTTTAAAGGTGTGCAAATGTCCCGAGCGACATTTTGGAAGTGCCCATATATCGCTTTTTCAGTGCATTTTTTTCCGCTGCTTAGTCGCTTTACTGCTTTAATGATTTGCTACTTTGCTCTGTCAAAAGGTCGATTCAAAAAATATTTGATTGCGACCAAGACAGCAGAAAAATCAAGCTTAGCTTAACCCACTGCAGCCCATGACTAAATCTTATCGGAAAAATTAACCTAAACATTTTGATAAATACCTAATATTATTATCTTTATATCTTGTAAATATTACAACATTTTACAAAAGTTTTAATTGCAATCAATAGTTAATTTATATGCGTTTGTATACTTTTGTTAACATTTAAGTATGAAGAAATTTATTACAGTACGTGGAATGAGGCTCAGAGGGTTAACTCTATTTCTTGGCCAATCCAAAGTTGTTGCTGTGCTGTGGCATTTGGCCAAATGGCAACAACATTTTATTTCATATTGTTGCTGCTGGCTTTTTGTTGCTGTTGGATTTTCTTTGGTAAGGTGAACCTGTTGCACATGACTGCAAAATGTGACAGCCAGCGAGAAACGCAGCTTAAAGACAGATAAAAATGGCTAATAGGCAAATCTTTAGCAAAATAAAAAGTTTTTAACAACATTTGTTGTTATTTTTCCAAACTATTTAATCATCTATTTTTTAATAAAAATACCATATTCATATATTTTTTAATATAATAATTCCTAATTCTGTAAGTTAGTTAACTAAAACTGAAAAATCCTTTGAAATATAAATTTTAAAGTTCGCAAGGACTACCAATTTTTGAAAGAAGTTATCCGAGAATTGCAGCAAATTAGGCATATTTTTAGCTAATAGCTCCTTTTATATGATTTTGCTCTTATGGCATCAGCTATTTCTGGTGTCGCTGGTGATTGTGCAAAAAGGTGAAAAAATCAAGAAGAGAGTGAGGAAAAAATCGCTAACGTAAACCGAAAATAGCTAAGACAATAATGGGGCCCCACAAGTCAGATAAGCATAGAAAAACATAGAAACAACAAAAAAAAATAGCCGCAAAGCAAAGTCAGCAGACAACTGAAAGTTGTTGCGTTTGTTTCTAAGCCAAACGAGTTTGTTGTTGTCGCTGCAATCACTTTTTGGCGCATAAACTCAAATCCAAACCCAAACTCCAGACCCCGACTAGACCCATGGACTTATTGGAATGCCAAGCCGCACACACATGGCGCGGCACAGTCGTGGCCAGTCATATAGAGATTTTGAAAGTAAATAAAAAATTAGAAGTAAGAAAATAAGAATTAGTTCCACTCAAGAAATATTTAACATAAAATATTATAAAGTCATTTTCATCAAATTAAATGATTTTATAATTTTCCACTAAAATTTCCAAAAACTAATCATATCAGTTTTAGTAACCCCTTATTAATAATATTTATTATGCAGATATTTTGAAAGGAATTTCCTTTGCTTATCTTCTGGATCCCTTTCAAATAGGATATTATTTTTGCGAGCACAGCTGTATTTATATGCATACGTATACGTATTCCTCGAGATCGCAGCTTAAATTACAGCGGGCGGACTTAAGAAAAGAAAACGAAACGAAACGAACCCACAACAATCACAGCATAAACTCTAAATTGCTCAATAGTCGTTGTTTGCCTTTGGCGGCCAACAATTACAACAACAACCATTTGGGGGTCCTATTTAAAACACACACGCCCTGCAACAACTAACAACCAACAACTAGCAACCGACAATAAACAACTAACAAGCGAGGAAAACTTTGGTCAAGCCGAAAACCTTGATAGAAATGAATAATACCCTTAACAAATGCTTTTCAAATGCCTTTTTTCGTACTCCATGGCCTTGGTTCACTTAGCGAGCCCATTAGAACCCAACTTCTAGTGGAGACAAATTACTAAGATTTTCCCCATGTGCATCTAAAATTAGTTATCAAAGCAATGGACTTGGTTACACATTTGCTTTAAGGTTTTAATAGTAAGTAGATCACGTTTTTGTAAGTCCTACGAACTTGAAATTTAAATGAAAGACTTTTACAATAATATTTACAAAAAAAAAACAGTTCTCGGATTTTAAAGAATTGATTTTAATTTAAATTTGTTGGCAATCGAATTAATATTAAATACATAAAAATTCACAAAAGAAATTCCACAGATGATTAACATATTTTTTTGTTAAATTTTTTACAAAGAGCATTAGTTATTCGTTTTTTTTTCCTACCAGTCTATCGCTATTATTGTTAAAGGCGACATATTTTGTTTTTGAAAAGTTCTCATCAGCCAAGACAACAAAAGAAAGAGAAATAGCGACAAAAACAACAAGTATTCAACGACTCATTTCACAAACAAATTTATACACGCCACTAAAAACAGTTGTTGACGGCTGGGAGAAATACAAAATACAAACTACGAAATACAAGAGGGAAATCATAATAAAGAAAAGCAACATAAACCGAAATTTTTGCATGAAAACAGCTGCAAATTAAAGTCACAGAAGAGAGAAGACCGAAGACTGAAGATTTGCGAAGACGGCAACGCACTCTGCACAGAAACAAATTTTAGTATTCTTCAAAGCAATTTAAAAGCTTTGAAAAATATATTAAAATATTTGGAATATTGATTGAATTTAGCATAATAATATTGTGTTTTAAGAGTTTTCGTTAAAATTTAATGTGGGATAATTGCCAAACAGACTTCTTATTCTTTTTACATTTTCTTAAATATTACTTAAAGTTTTTTAAGAATTTTATAAATACATTTTATAATCCAAGACGATTATATTTTTTAGAGTGTAGCAAAACTTTTGATTTCTTTTGGTAAGGCGGGCCAGATTTTTACAGCCAAGCGCCCGAGGCAAAAGCAACAATTTTAATAACAATAACAACAACAGCGAGCGGCAAAAGTAAGTTACTAAGTCAAAATTGGCTTATAACGGGACGCACTTTCACTTAAACGCAGCTCAAGTCGCTGCTCTCTTTCGTTGTCTGTGTGTGTGAGTGTGCGACTGTGTGTGTGGGGGGATGCTGCAGCCCCCTGCACCGAAAAGGGGGCGCGGCCTTGTAATTTCCATAAATTTTACAGTAGCCAAAGCCCAAACAGTGGGTCAAATTCCAAGTACAGTGATCGCTGCAAAAACAACACCCAAAATCTATGGAAATTTAGGGAGAAGATCAATTCGATATTATACCAAAAAAAATCATTTAATAAAATGTCCAAAAATACAGTAAAACTATAAACTTAAAAAACTTAAAATTTTCATTTTCAGTTTAGATTTTGATTTTTCAAAATACAGAAATTAATATATAGAAATTTAATTAGAATTTAATTAGAATTCAATTTAAAAGAAAAAAAATTGTTTATTAAAATTATTTATAATTATAATTTGAAAGATTAATGAATGCAAGATAAAAATTTCGAATAAAGGGAATATTAATGACTATTCTCCACCTAATAATAAAGTAGTAATCAAACCACTTTAATTACTATATTAAATGTAGTAGTAGCCAAATTAATTAGTGGGCGCTCGTAAGTGGGCGTTGACTTGCAGTGACCACTGTGCCCATATATAGACCAATATTGGATGCTGCGATGCCGTTACTGATTGGAAATCGTTAGCAGGTTACCGATATCGCCGACTAGTGCAGCATTATGCAATAAAATCCGCAGCACGACAAAAACCAAACAGTTACTGTTTTTAACGACGCTTTTACTTTTGTTTCATTAATTATGGCTGCTCAGCGATTTCCAATTATGACAGCGATTGGAAAGCCGTTTAAGTCGAGTGACCAAAAATAAACCAAAGAAAAATGAAGCCAAACGAAAAACAAAAATGCTCAAAGATTGTTGCCCTTTTAAGAATCCCCAATAATCGCAGCTTCATTGGATTTGGATTTTGTGGAATTTTGAAAGCCACCTTAAAGGCAGGGCAAATGGTATGGTAATGGTAAGTGGCCCCCAGGAATCCACGGATATTTCACTATTGTCTGGGAAATGTCGAAACAATGCACTTGATTTTTGGCCCCTGGGCCCAGGGAGAGGTTTAAATCGTTTTTACTTGCCTGCACTATTGGAGGTTTTTAACTATCTTGAAAGTATTTGAATTTGATATTTTATCAGTGCATTTCTAGCGTTTCATAAGCGATTTATTGTTTTTCTGTTTACTAAATTAAAAAGAAAATATAAATCCACTATAAATATCTAATTACAAATAACGTTTTGTTTTTAAAATTTCTAGGACAAACATATTTTTAACAGTTTGTATGGTTTATTAAAAAAATTGATTGAAAAATTGCAAATAATCAAAAGATTAATCTAAAAATAAATGCCATCCGAAAATGATTTCAATTAATATTTTACGATTTTTAGCATACGTTTTCCAATCATATAGAATCATTTAATTATTTAATTTTGATTTTTAATAAATAAAATTAATTTCCAAAAGTATTTATTCTGCATTTTCATATTTTCAAAGAAACAAAAGTTCCAAAAAAGAAACCGAAATACTTTCAGACTTAAGATTTAGTTAAAATCTTGGCCCGATTCTTAATTAAAAGGTAAGTACATTTAGAGTAATAATTCGCGATACACAAGGAATGCGGAATGGTTACTGTGGACATAAAACAAAAAAAAAAGAAAAGTTCCAAGTTCGGTTAATAATCCAATTAAAAACTGGAGAAATGTGTACTTTCAGACCTCTGATTAAGTTTAACTACTAACTACTAACTGCCGCTGGAATTAGCCGCATTTCCTGGCCACTGGCTACTGTCCACAGGTAATTGATTTGAACTAGAACTCACCTGGCTGTTGCTGCAGTAGTAGATGTCCGACATCCTGGTTCTCGATCAGGGTTGGATGAGGGATCTTGGAGCGGACTGGATCGCTGCCCTCCGCCTGCTCCGCTGTCGCGGATTCGCTCCTTTCGCGCAGACCTATCAGCTTTTCTCCGCGCTTTCTTTATTGAAAAATCCGAAATGGAAAAGAGGCGATCCAGGGATCCAGGTGAACTGGCCAACAGGTGAACCAGGTGCCCTAGGTGGCTTATGGCCAGTAGTTAATGGCCGTAATGGCAACCTGTTTTTGCGCCGCGGAAAAGTGTCACATATGTACAAACGCTCGATGTAATCGATATGCTTAGCCAGTTGACGTCGCTTATTGTTACGATTTTTGGCCAGATTAGGTTTTCCGCATATTTATCCGCATATTTAGGCAAACACAATACAAAAACAAAAACAAAACAAAATGCAAACTGAAAAATAAAATGCAAACAATGCCGCACTTCACGCTCCGTCTTGCAGAACACACCACTCGCTTTTGCCGCTTTTCCCGCTTTTGCAGCTTTCCATGCGCATGCGCGCACCTTTCTTTCGGTTATATTCAGATATAAGCTATATACGATATGATATGATATGATGCCGATTCCGATTCACGACCGTCTCGAGCGGAGTTAAAACGCCAACTAACTTGGCCGAAACGGGGCGACTTCTTCGGCGGCCGCAACGAAAGTTGTCGCAACCAGTTTTGAGTCTTCTGAGGCCTCATAATTTTTTCTCTTACACGGAGAAGAAATAAAACAAATGGACTTGAAATCCAAATGCATTACATATTTTATATAATTATTAAATTAAGGTGATATCAGATAAATAACAGATCTTAACTTATATATGTTTACATTTTCAAGAATTATTTTCATTTTTTAAATATTAAACTACATTTTTTTAAATATTATTAAATATTTTATAGAAGATTAAAGTGCTGGGATCTGTTCTAAATGTTCAGTGAAATCATAATTTATAATTTTTCTCTCTGTGTAGTGACAAGAGCGCGGGAGAGCTACATACGTTGCACTTTTAAGCCGGTAATTTATGCGATGATTAATTCGTGTTAAGCGCTGAAGATCCTGGGCCAGATAAATGTGTGTTAACTGATAAGGAAGTTGCGAATGACAAAGAACAATGATGTTTTATTTAACAACAACCAAATTTAAAAAAAAATACATTTAAAAGAACACATCTTAGTCATGTTTTCTAAAATTATTTTAAATTTTCAAATTTTAGAACAATCACTAAACTTTTATTTTGGAAACATTACAAATATTTACAAATATTTCTTCGTTTAAATAAAATTATTTTATGCCGTCTTGAGGAGATTATTTCACAACAAAATTGAATCACTTAGAATTTAAGTAATTAAAAAGATAAGGAACTTTTATTATGACGCATAAAAAAACTGTAAAATGGCGCCATCTTTAATTTGTGATTTGAATTTGAAAAACCCACGCGCTTACCTGTGAATGGCCAAACAAATTATGAACAGCTGGCGGCAGGCGCGTTGCCAACTACCTGTGGGAAATAAGAAATGTAATAAAATTACCATCAAAAACACAAAGAGAGCTTGATAATAGTAAAAGTGATATTTATAGATTTTACACTACCTTGCTAGTGAACTAATTTCAAATGAATTAGTAATTAAATAAACCGATAAATGAGCGCGGTCGGTCAGCTGTCAACGCGGCAGTTGGCAACGCGGTGCGACTGTCAAAGCAAACCGATAAAAAAAGTAGTCTCCGCATTAAGAGCTCCACAGGAATATTTTCCAGCATTTCGGTAGGTTTTCTTGCACTTTCGGGGCCTTCAAAGCCGCCTCTCCGATCACAAATCCCCTGGCGAAGTGAAGGAGCAGCCTACCAAAACGCACACATAACACAAACAATCGATATCCGGGCTGTGTTGGCCCAACCAGCGTACCAAAACACTTATGTAATTTCCTTTTGGCTCCCACCGAATTGCAACCGAATTTTGGTTACCATCTCGTTGCAGAAAATATGATACGGGCACCGCTAGTCAAGGCGCTGGGCGCTCTGGGCTCGCCCACACATCAGATGGCCAGCCGGGCGATCCGCACCAGCTCGCTGGTGGCCCAGACGCCGGCGAAGGCGCCCGAGAAGATCGAGGTCTTTGTGGACGACATTCCGGTGCAGGTGCTCCCGGGCACCACGGTGCTGCAGGTGAACTATAGTCCAGATCATAAGGAACACCTCCTTCTAATCTTATACCTCCCCCCATGTAATCCCAGGCTGCTGCCCAGATCGGCGTGGAGATACCCAGATTCTGCTACCACGAGCGACTGGCGGTCGCCGGAAACTGCAGGATGTGCCTGGTGGAGGTGGAGAAGAGCCCCAAGCCGGTGGCCGCCTGCGCCATGCCCGTGATGAAGGGCTGGCGCATCAAGACCAACTCGGATCTAACGCGCAAGGCGCGCGAGGGCGTCATGGAGTTCCTGCTGATGAACCATCCGCTGGACTGCCCCATCTGCGACCAGGGCGGCGAGTGCGATCTGCAGGACCAGGCCATGGCCTTTGGCTCCGATCGATCCCGCTTCACTGACATCAACTACACGGGCAAGCGGTGAGGCTACCCACTGAATTCTTAACCCCTTACTCACCTGCAATCCCTTACAGCGCTGTGGAGGACAAGGACATTGGGCCGCTGGTCAAGACCATCATGACGCGCTGCATCCACTGCACCCGCTGCGTGCGCTTCGCCTCCGAGATCGCCGGCGTCGATGATCTGGGCACCACGGGCCGCGGCAACGACATGCAGATCGGCACCTATGTGGAGAAGCTCTTCCTCACCGAGCTCTCGGGCAACGTGATCGATCTCTGCCCCGTGGGAGCGCTTACCAACAAGCCCTATAGCTTTGTGGCCCGTCCCTGGGAGATCAGGAAAGTGAGCAGCATCGACGTTCTGGATGCCGTTGGCAGCAACATTGTGGTGAGCACCCGCACCAACGAAGTGCTGCGCATTCTGCCCCGCGAGAACGAGGACATCAACGAGGAGTGGCTGGCCGACAAGTCGCGCTTCTCCTGCGACGGCCTCAAGCGTCAGCGTCTGGTGGCCCCCATGGTGCGCATGCCCAACGGCGAGCTGCAGGCCGTCGAGTGGGAGGGCGCCCTGATTGCGGTGGCCAAGGCTGTGAAGGCGGCCGGCGGACAGATTGCCGCCATCTCCGGCCAGCTGGCCGATCTGGAGGCTCAGGTGGCGCTCAAGGATCTGCTGAATCGTCTGGGCAGCGAGGTGGTTGCCACCGAACAGGGCTTCATTGCGGGCGGCACCGATTCGCGGGCCAATTACCTGCTGAACAGCACCATTGCCGGTCTGGAGGAGGCCGACGCCGTCCTGCTGGTGGGCACCAATCCCCGCTACGAGGCTCCGCTGGTCAACACGCGTCTGCGCAAGGCCTATGTGCACAACGAACTGCAGATTGCCTCGATTGGGCCCAAGATCGATCTGTCCTACGACCACGAGAACCTCGGCGCCGATGCCGCCTTGGTGAAGGACGTGTGCTCCGGATCGCATGCCTTTTCCAAGGTTCTGGAGGCGGCCAAGAAGCCGGCCATCATCATTGGCGCCGATCTGCTGGAGCGGGCCGATGGCGCCGCCATCCACGCCACCGTTGCCGAGTACTGCAAGAAGCTGAAGAAGCCAGTGAGTTTCCTTTCGTTTCTAGCCTTGAATTGGATTAACCCAAGCTTTGCCTGCAGGACTGGAACCCCTTCAACGTGCTGCAGACCAACGCCGCCCAGGTGGGAGCCTTCGATGTGGGCTACAAGGCGGGCGCCCAGATTGCCGTGAAGGCGCAGCCCAAGGTGCTGTTCCTGCTGAACGCCGACGCAGGCAAGGTGACCCGTGAGCAGCTGCCCAAGGACTGTTTTGTGGTGTATATCGGTTCGCATGGCGACAATGGCGCCTCCATTGCCGACGCCGTGCTCCCAGGTGCCGCCTACACCGAAAAGCAGGCCATCTACGTGAACACGGAGGGCAGGCCGCAGCAGACGCTGCCTGGAGTGTCGCCACCTGGCATGGCCCGCGAGGACTGGAAGATCCTGCGCGCCCTGTCCGAGGTGGTGGGCAAGCCGCTGCCGTACGACAACCTGGACGAGCTGCGCAACCGGCTGGAGGATGTGGCGCCGCATCTAACGCGCCTGGGACAGCTGGAGCCAGCCGGCGATGCCGGAGCAGCGGGCGCACTCGTAAGAGGGGGATTGTTAAGGGAAATTATCTAGAGAGAGTACTAATTATGCTTTATTTTCACAGAGCAAATCCATTGGCGGCGGCCCCATTGATATCAAGCTCAAGGAGCTGCGCGACTACTTCATGACCGATGCCATTTCGCGCGCCTCGCCCACCATGGCCAAGTGCATATCGGCGGTCAACAAGCAGCAGCGGGAGAACGAGGCCAAGCAGAGCGTGGCCATCTAGGCGTCGTAACTAATTAATGTTTTTTTTTAAACTCTGCTCTTCGACCCTTTGGCTTCCGCATCTCCTACCCAATAATTACACACCAACGGACACAAAGACAGCAGAAGGAGCCGCAGGATGGGCCAGCGCAGGAGCGGGACGAGGAGCGGGATCAGCAGCTGCAGAGGCGCCAGCGCTGGGGCAGTTGTACATGAAAATGTCTTTGAAGTTGTTCGAAACAAAGGAGTTATTCAATACGAGAAATAGGAAAACCAAAATAAAAATGTAATAGAAAATATCAACCGACATTATTCACTGGCAGGGAATCGAAAAAGTGTGTGTTAAGTAACTCCCAGTCCACTTGTATTGCCCTCTCGCTTTTTTTCATGTTCAAGATAATCATTTCACTCGGAACAAACTGTAAGGAACTCATAATTAATATTCAATTACTGTTGTCTAGCTGTGATTTTATGAAAATATGTATATTTTGTAAGCATAAAATCAATTGTATCCTCCTTTTTTGTGTTTAGAAATCAGAAATTGATCAAAATATGTTTGGCGACCACCATTGCTTTGTAATTTGCTACAAGAATCCTTGTAACTTAGTACCATAAAGTTCTTAAATATGCGTTAGATTTTATGTACTTTATGGGTAATTTTTATTACAACTTTCCACGCATCGAGTGTTAACAGCCTTGAAGTTTTCCCCATATATTTTATAGTTGGCTTACAGGAAATTCTCCAGGGTGCCATTATTCTCAGGTGATTAGTTGCCCCAAGGGTCAAAATTCCGCCCTAAATTGCATTTACAATTGGGCTATATTTGGCTTGGAGCTCACTGGTATTCAGTTGAAAAAACCGGGGTCAAAAGCGATTCAGTTAACCCCTTTTAGCTTGTATTTAGACCATTTGCATGGCGAATGAGGGTGAATCCAGTTAGCAGATTGACGCATTGATTGACTGAGGAAGCGCACAAGGAATGATATGTTTGCCCCCCTGAAGTCATTTGTCCAAATACTATAGTTTGATTGATTGTTTGATTGCTCCTTTTTTTACTACAAAAACGAATTATTTTTTTGTGGAAAATTGGGATCTGGGTTTTTGGTAAAAATAAGTATTTTTCCTTTTTGTTTTTTTGTTGTAACTTGGCCAAAAATGGTCCTACACCAAAAATACATACTGTTTTGAACAGATAACAAAATTGGCATAAATCCATAAAACTTTCCGTGTGATTTAGGAAAAATAAAATTTTTCGCCAATTTTTAATTTTTTTATAAGGGGGTACCCCATGATTTTTTTCGAAAAATTAAAAATATATAAAATGTCAAGGTTTAAATGCCAATCGTTAGGAAATTTAATAACGAGTTCAGAAAGGTATGACAATCTATACTTTGAATCAGTATTTGCTTTGTTTTAGCGGAAAAACCGGTTTTTTTTTTTTGAAATTTGGGATTTCAGTTTTTGGCAAAAATTGGAATTTTTTCTTTTGTTTTTTTTGTTGTAGCTTCGCCAAAAATGGTCCTACACCAAAAATACATACTGTTTTGAACAGATAACAAAATTTGCAATAGATCCATAAAACTTTCCGTGTGACTTAGAAAAAATAAAATTTTCGCCAATTTTTAATTTTTTATAAGGGGGTACCCCATGATTATTTGCGAAAAATTAAAAATGAATAAATTGTCAAGGTTTAAATGCCAATCGTTAGGAAATTTAATAACGAGTTCAGAACGGTATGACAATCTATGCTTGGACCAATATTTCCATTGTTTCGGTCAAAAAACGAATTACTTTTGCGTGGAAATTTCGGCATCTGCGTTTTTGGTACAATAAATAATAAGGTTTATTACGAGCCGATAACAGGTAGAAGTCCCAAAAACCCGAATTACATCTACTTCAATTAAAAACTCAGTTTTGTCGGTGAAAAATTATATTTTTCAACCATACATTTAGGGGGTTTCATGGTTAATTTCATAGGTTCAAACAAATTCAAAATTTTGAGTGCATGTCGGCGGCGCAGCAGTCGTGGGATGGGCTGGTCGCAGCCAGGGGACTGGTCGCTCCGCTGGAGTTCCGCCCGTCATCGCTGCCCGGTGCCCCTCCCTTGCGCAGAGCTATTGTGTGGGTGTTGTTAATTGTGTGGAAACTGAAACGGAACTGTTGAACTCTTCGATCGCTGGGCCGCGTCTAACAACCATTCATCATCTTCGGGTCTTCGCGGCTGAGCTGCAATCCCGCCTTAGCTGCAGCAGCTGGCCGGCGTGGGGTCCAATCCCGAGCGCTTGGTGATGCTCAGCCGGGTGAACTCCTCGGCGGTCGTGGGGTGAATGCCCACGGTGTTGATCAGCGTGTTGATGGTCAGGCCGGACTTGAGGGCGGCCGCGAATCCCTGGATCACCTCACCGGCCACCGGGCCGAGGTAGTGGAGTCCGTAGACGCGCTGGTCGCCGTGGCGCTCGGCCACCGCCTTCAAGTAGCAGTAGCGCACGCTCTTCTGCGGAATGAAGAACTCCGTGGGCTTGTAGTAGCCGTGGAATACCTCCACCTCGTCGGCTCCGTACTGCTTGACGGCATCCTCCTCGCTCAGACCGACGCAGGCGTATTCCAGAGGCGTAAACACCGTGGTGGCCACATCCTTGTAGTCCATGCGCTGCGTGGCTCCGCCGTAGAGGCGGCGGGCCAGCAGACGACCGGCCAAAACGGCCACGGGCGTCAGCTCCGGCTTGCCGTAGATAATGTCGCCCACGGCATAGATGTTCGCCACATTGGTGGCCTCCTGCGAGTCCACTGGAATCTTGTCCTTCTGCACACTCACGCCGGCATTGGGCAAATTCAGATCGTCGACCAGGCCCTTGCGGCCAATGGCCCACAGCACGGTGTCGAAGACATCCTCGGCCTCCTCGCCGGTCTCCGTGTTCTTGTACTTGACCAGCAGCTTGCCGTCGTCCTGCTTCTCCACCGACAGGGGCACCGATTTGCGCAGGAAGGGAATGCCGCGCTCCTCCATCGAGGAGGCCACCAGCTCGGCCATCTGCTGGTCGAAGCCGCGCAGCACAATGGAGCGCACCATGACGGTGGGCTCGTAGCCGAGACCCTTCAGGAATCCAGCGCACTCGAGGCCAATGTCTGTGAGGGGAGATGGGTGTTATTACCTCTTGTTAATTATGATAAACCTAAGCTACAACTTACAGCCAGCTCCCACAACCAAGGTCTTGCCGGGCTCGCGGTCCAAACTGAACAGATCATCGCTGGTGATGCCGTGCTCCACGGCTCCGGGAATATCCGGATAGCGGGGACGGCCGCCCACGGCGATGACAAAGGTCTGGGCGGTGATTGTGCGCTCGCCGCTCTTCAGCTTGGCCAGCAGGGTGTGCGAGTCCACGAAGGAGCCGAGTCCATTGATGTACTCCACTTTCCTGGGGGAAAATTACTATAATTAGTGGCGATTCTTTAGAGGCACCTTAACCCTAACACACTCACTTGTCGCGCAGATCCACGCGGGTCACCCAGTTGACGGATTTGATGTGGTTCTGCACGGACTGCACCAGCTTGTTCCAGTCGGGCTTGATCTTGTCGTCCACGTTCCAGCCATAGGCTGCTGCCTCGTGGACAGCCTCGCCGAGGAGGGAGGCCTGGTGCATCAGCTTCTTGGGAATGCAGCCGACGTTCACGCAGGTGCCGCCAACGCCCCACTTGGTGCCCAGCGTGGGCGTGGGCTTGACGTAGTCCAGGCAGGCCACGCGGGCTCCGTTGAGCACCGCCTCCTTGGCGCAGGCCAGGCCAGCTGATCCGCCGCCAATCACAATTAGGTCGTAGTCGTAGGTTCCTGAAAGAGAATGTATAGTTATTAGTGGGGTTTATTATGGTGAAATATGGTAAATGGGCTGGGTTATACTTGAATTTCTACCTAAATAAAGATGTAATTATAATATTATAAAGTAATACCACTATTATTCCCCTTTTTCTGCCTAAAAAGTTTATAGATTAGTTTCAAATCCTAATGTGATAGGTTCCTGACTTTCTACAAGTAAAATTTCATTTACTTATCTTAAATAGAGTTGTAATTATAATATTATAAAGAAATACCACTATTATACCCCTTTTTTTTCCCAATTATATGTGATAGGTTCCTGAAAAAATGTGTACTTATTAGTAGAGTTTATTATGATGAATTATGGTAAATGGGCTGGGGTATACAATAGATTTCACGAATTTCTATAGGTTAAATTCCATTACCTAATCTCAGATAGAGTTGTTATTATAATATTATAAAGTAATACTAGTATTATACCCCTTTTTCTTCCTAAGTAGTATCTAGATTAGTTTCAAATCCTTATCTGTGATAGGTTCCTGAAAAAAAGGGTTCGTTATTAGTGGTGTTTATTATGGAATACACTAGATTTCCAAACTTTCTACAAGTTAAATTCCATTTACTAATCTCAGATAAAGTTGTAATTATAATATTATAAAGAAATACCACTATTATACCCCTTTTTCTGCCTAACAAGTATATAGATTATTTTAAAATCCTTATCTGTGATAGGTTCCTGAAAAAAGGGTTCGTCATTAGTAAGGTTTATTATGGTGAAATATGGTAAATGGGCTGGGTTGAACAATAGAATCCCTTTCTACCATTTCATACTAGTCTCAGATATTACTTTTCACCCTATAAATAGAGTTATACCACTTTTATAGCCTTTTTCTTCCTAAATACTATCTAGATTAGTTAAAAATCCTTATCAAAGATATGATATCATAAAAGTTTTCTTATGATATTGTCTAGTAATCTCTGCCTGCCCTTGGACGACTCCTCGCGCAGTCGAATGTCCAGGTAGGCGGACCGGTAGATGCTCCTCCGGTGGCGCGGTTCACCCTCGACCAGCTGGGAGACGGGCACAAACTCGAACAGATGCATCCAGGGCGAAGGAAGGACCAAGACTGTTTGGCCTCCTGCAGTCCGTGATCCGCAATCCGTAATCTGCACCCTGCAATCTCTAAGCTCTAAGCTCCTTTGCTCCAGATGCCAGGTGGCGATAGCGGGGCCAAGTGCCACATGCCACTGGGTCAGAGGTTTCGAATCAAACTGGGGCAATCAGCCACCTGCCACGCCCCCCCTGTCCACCGCCCACGCCCCTTTTGGTTTGCTTTGACCCTCTGGATTTTCAGTTTGCCATGGTTACGCCCCAAAAGTAGTTGGCAACACCCGTTCTTATCGCCCGGCATATCAATCCTGCCCAGAAACGTATTTGTCGTCACAAACTGCAATTAATTGCGGAATTGAGTTGAATTGAATTGGAATGACGATGACGAAGGCCCCACGATGATGCAGCTATCGAAGATGTTTATGCGATATAGATAGAAATACGAAAAACACAGATAATACAGATACGGAATGCACACGACCACTGATATGGTGAAATCATCGTAAGCGATTCTCGAACATTCCGCAAAGGGTTGTTCAAGAGCATCCAACTAAATTCACACATGAACAAAAATCTATCATACAATTTATACCCTATTATTTCTAGAAATAAAAGGTCGATTGGGTAATTAATTATTTAACAAGAAAACTTGATTCCGCTGTATTTAAATTAATACCATGGATACGTTTATGGACACACAAATATTTTCAATGACATTTAAGTTTTCTTATCAAAGAGTTTTTTAATCTCGAAGAGGGGTTCTTAAGTTCTGGGGAAGTACAATAATTAAAGTGATTAAAAACATGTTAGTTGCTCAGGGATATTATTTAGGAATTTAGGAATGACTAAGGATTGTAAAATATTAAAAAATAGAAAACAGGAAATGTATGATTCAGAACCATTATACTTAGATGATGCGCTTTTTTTGGCGCCCACCACGATGGCACAAATCATGTATTTCAACATGATACTCTAAAATGAGTGCTATTTGTGTGCGCGCCACTGTAGTTCCAGTTGGACGGGTGGCGATGACGATTGACGATGACGGTGCAAATGGGAGGCAGCAGAGGCCGGCATAAAACCTTTGCGAATACGTGCCGCAGGTACGAAACCCGATAAGCCAAGTAATAAGTCGACGGAAAACTAACGGTTATTGCATAATGGCGTCGGTTAAACACAAGAAGCCCTCAAGAAACCAGAGCAACAACAACAACAAAAATAAGAAACTTGGAAACCCGACCTATCGGACCGCGTTGCCAACCCCCCCGAAGGCGGGCGGCGGTGATCGAATCGATATCGGCGCTCACCTCCTTTGGTCCTCATCTTCCGCACCGGCTGCTCGTACATGGCCGCCCGGTCGCAGTGCGGATGCTGGAAGGGGGGTGCACTACCGTTCCCGGTTGCACTGACGCCCGGCGCCCCTGGACTTCCAGCGCTGTCGCGCGATCCTCTTTGACCCGACATCGCTCCACTGGAACAACTGGAAATCCAACAAGCGAGCCCGTTTATCGAGGAGCACTTGTTGTTGTTTGGCTGTCGAATGCCAGACGTTAAAAGCGTCGAGCACTGGCGCACGAACAAGTTCATCTTGGCGGTCTTAGCCCCCCACTTTCCAATTTCTAGTAGCTGGAACACTTGAGTGGAAACAAAATTCGCGGAGGAACAACACAAACACGTCGCTGGTCTGGCCGGGAATGCTGCGAATGCGGTGGGGGGCCAAACGGGCCGATAAACGGCTACGTAACAGAAGCAGAGAGCAAAAGAGAGAGCGCGCGCGAATGCGCCGGGAAGGGAGGAGGGAATCGAAGAGGAGCATCCATCTTGGAATGCTGCGGGAAGGGGTTTCGTTTCGGATGGGGATTGGAAATTGCCAATAAGAAATTTATGTAGTTCCGCTTATGCCAATTAGAATCTCTCGAAACGCACGTTTGGCAATGCGCCGTATCGATAACTCTTGCGGATGGTTGGCAACACTGCCGGGCAAAACTCAGCCGGCCGTCGGAATTTCTAGTTTCTATTTTCCAATTTTCACGCCTGTGTTATTGCGGTGTTACGGCAATAAAGTCGCCCGATATCTGGTTCGAGGTCTGGTGAAATCCACAGAATAGTTTAGTAACAGTGCCGCCCTTTATTGCACCCTCTTTTATCTCGAGTGCGCGATTAGATTCGAGGAGAAACTTGGAGATCGTCTGGGAGCACGAGCACCATGAACTCCATCCTGATAACGGGCTGCAATCGGGGACTGGGTTTGGGCCTGGTCAAGGCTCTCGTAAATCTTCCCCAGCCGCCGCAGCATCTTTTCACCACCTGCCGGAATCGCGAGCAGGCAAAGGTACGTTTTTCGTTGGTCCAGCGATTGGATAGGGTGACTCACGGGGCCCCAGAAACTACGCGAACAATCCACAAGAAGCGCTCACTTCACTTAATTGCCCAGAAACTACATAAACCATAGATTACAACTCACCTTGCACGGGCGCCATTATCTGTGTTTTTGGTAGCTTCTCGAGGTAAATAAGAGCGAAAACAAGGATCAACGTCGGGTAGTAAATGTTGCAGTAGTGGCGGAAGTGGGAAAAACAGTTGCGGGCGGTCGAGAATCGAAAACTAGTGAGCGTGTTTAAGCGGCGGCACTCGCGAAAGCTCGAATAAATCGAATAAACGGAGCCAACTTTTGCAATAGCTTTTGTAGTCGCTTAATTCACGAGTGTTGCCAGCTGAAAACTTTGATTATCCCCTAGAAAATCCACAGCATAAAATGGTCACTCTGGCGATAGGCGCGAAAAGAACGAGAGAAACGAGAAACTCAGAGAGAGAGAGAGCGGGAGAGCGAAACGAAAGCTCGGATTTCGAATATCGATTTGTTTACATTTCTAGAATTTACTATCGATATCACTTACAGGCGTTAGGGCATTTTCTGCGATATTTTTGGGCGCCAATTTTAAAATTTCCTAGATTTATCTAATTTTTGAAATTTTCCATCACAGGAACTGGAGGACCTGGCCAAGAAGCACTCCAACATCCACATACTGGAGATTGGCAAGTATTCCGTATAAAAAACCCAACAAATTACTAAAATTCCCCTGCAGATCTGAGGAACTTTGAGGCCTACGACAAGCTAATCGCCGACATCGAGGGCGTGACCAAGGATCAGGGTCTAAATGTGCTTTTCAACAACGCCGGCATAGCGCCCAAATCGGCCAGGATAACCGCTGTTCGCTCGCAGGAACTAATCGACACGCTGCAGACCAACACCGTGGTGCCCATCATGCTGGCCCGCGCCTGTCTGCCGCTCCTGAAGAAGGCGGCCAAGGCCAACGAGTCCCAGCCGATGGGCGTGTCGCGGGCCGCCATCATCAACATGTCCTCCATTCTGGGCTCCATTCAGGGCAACACAGACGGCGGCATGTACGCCTACCGCACCTCCAAGTCGGCCCTGAATGCGGCCACCAAGTCGCTGAGCATCGATCTCTATCCGCAGCGCATCATGTGCGTTAGCCTGCATCCGGGCTGGGTGAAAACGGACATGGGTGGCGCCGCTGCGCCCCTGGATGTGCCCACCAGCACGGGCCAGATTGTGGAGACCATCGGCAGGCTGGGCGAGCAGCAGAACGGCGGTTTCGTCAACTACGATGGCACTCCGTTGGCCTGGTGAAGATTTTCCCTCTGTTTTTGTTAATTGTTGTTGAATATTACCATAAATTCCACTTTCTGGGGCTCCATTAGCCATTGTATTGAGTGGAGTACATAGAAAAATATGGGGAACACAGTGATTTGGAGTTGCTTATCCTTAACCTATCTACTTGCTATTTCTGCCTGGGCGGCACCATGGCCACCGGCACCTTGGCGGGATCGATGCCGATCGCTTGGGCCAACGGCGGCAGGCGCACGGCATTCGGTCCTCCGATTCCTCCTCCTCCTCCACCGGCGAATCCTCCCGCATCCGCCGGGCCGCCCAGCTGCGGATCGGGTTGCGGAATCTGGCGCTGGGGCGGCACCATGGCCACGGGACGCGGTGAGCCGGCGTCCAGCGGAGGAGGAGGCCCACCGGACGACTTGCCGTCCAGCGGATGGGCCACGCGCTTGCGGAGATCGAGGCGAGGACGTCGGTTGTTGGCGTTGCTGGTCAGGGCGTCGGCCGAAAGCGGCGGCGGATCGTTCCAGCCGGGTGTTAGTGAGCCTATTAGGTAGATATGAGGATTAGTTATAATCTGATTTATGAAAACCAAGCAAAAACCCACCTGGAAAGGCGCCCGATGGCGCTATATTTTGCCCCGTTGGCGGTGGCGGCGGAGCGGCAGTCAGCTGCTGTGGGTTGAGGTTCGTGGTGGACAGAGGCGGCGGTGGTGGTGCCATGGTCACTTCGCTGTCCTGATCCTGCGGCTCCTGTTGCGGTGCTCCGAAAATAAAACAAATAATAATAAAAGCCGTCAGCAGTGGAGGTGGAGAAACATCGATGTTTCTAAAACTTTCGGAAATATCGATAACTTCAATATTCCGTCAGGCTAAAATGTAGGGAGGGTGTCTTGGCTAAGCTAGCGGAGTCACACTCCAGACAGCTAGAAACCGTTATTTATAGTTTTCAATATTTCAAATAAAAATTCTAGATTGTAATTGTAATTCAATAATTAAGAACCACCCAAAAAAACACTGTCTAAATTTTATATTTCTTGGTTTGTCGTTTTTTATTATTATTATTATTAATATTGTTATTTCATCTGACTTTGTCCGCATTCTTGCGTTAGGGTTACTCATAAATGTCGTTAATTTCGTACAATGGCTATTAAACCGTGCCTATTTTGTAATCCGTTTTGCTTTTCATTAGGTATTTGTTTCGTATTTAGTTTAGTTTTGCTACACCACACATACATACATAAATAAAAACTTAAACAGATTTACTGCACACACATTTTTTTTATACCTTTGTTGACTACAAAAAAAAAAATATTTTCGAATTTTATTATTACAAGTCCCGCTTCCATTTCCATTTTCGATTCCCAAGGATCTTTTGGGGATCCAGATAAGATAAGATCGAAATGGATGGTGGCAACTGGACCGAATATGTAGGATTATTAGGTATATTTAAATATCATCCGCTCTTAGAATCTTTCAAGTGTTTAACATTGCGTAACATAGTTTGCTATTTTACTTAACCCACACTCTTCATTCTTTTAATATAAAATTCTGGCTTTAGCTGCTGTTCAATGGAATTTGTATAGACTTCTATATGCATGGTATATTTCGTATCGCAACTATGTCGGATCGTTAGTTAGTTAGTTGTGGTTGGAGTTGAAACCAACTGTATCTGTATCTCCTGCCCTCCCTGTTCTCTAGACGAATTGGTTTAAATAATTAATTACAACAACATTTACTTGGGAATTCCTTTGTTTTTCCTTTTGTTTTTCAATGCCTTAGCCTAATTCATTTTCTTGCCGCTTTACTATTTGCATTCGTTTATTGGGTTTTCCATTATCTTACAGTGCTTAAAGTTGGCTAAATATTTTGTTTTTCCATTTCTTTTCCGTTTTTGTTTTTAACAATTTCGCTCGTGGTTTCTCTAAGTTGATTCTCCTAACTCATCTCCTCATCATCATCTTCATCTAGCTCCCAGTTATTTATTTTTTAGATTTTTTGTTTTTTGGCAATGACTTACTGATTTTGTTGTTTCTCGAACTCTTTTATTTTTTCGCTTTGCTCTTGCATTCGTTTTGTTAAAAATTAATTGTATTAAGTACGCTTCGATTTATAATTTACGTGTATGTATATCCGTATAGTATATATATTTTATAAAGTAAATAGATTACGTAATTGCAACACTTGCATCTGCATCTGCTTCTGTATCTTTATCTTTATCTGTTTCTGCTTCTGAATTTGAATCTGTATCCATCGGATCTAGAGCTTTGATCATTATCGATATTATCGAAATGATATTGCGAAAATATCGAAAATATCGATACTTTCAAGCTCTAATCGAATCTCCCATGGGACAGCTGCCTACGGATTGTTCTGGCTCTGTTAACATTCGGAGTCGCTTATGGGTATTATTACACATTTTATTGGGTTCTAGGGTACTATGTCATATCGATTCTGGCCTTCCTCCCAGCGCTGATTCGTTATTTTACAATTTCAATTTGCCCCTTGAAATTAAGGAAGTGCTCAAGCTTAGTTTAAACAAAAAAATACGTTTACAATATAAGTTAGTGGTAGTCGTACAAAAAAAAAATGGGTATAATATAGGTGTACAAAACGGCAATGCCACAGAAATCACAAACGATGGAAAAATCATAATATACAATTTAGCAGGCTCTTCAGCTACTCGATTTCTCTGTGGCAGCCCCGCAAAATGGTTCAGCGAACAACAAATTTTGTGAACATACATAAAGGGGTTTTGTATTATGGGAATGCTTTCAAAACAGGGCGACACACACGATTAAAAACAATTATTTTCGCTAAGACTAAAATGCACATACGCAACGAATAGTATATAAATATATATATATATATATGTGTATATATAATATTGGAGGGGTTGTGGTAGGGGGCGTTGTTAATCGCATCGGCAGGCAAACCGAACTACTGGACTGGAATCGATCCTGCACTCCGCTTCATGGCTCAATTGAAAATTGTATTTACAAAGAGTTGTTTTGGGTTCCTATTTCTGGATTGGGTGGTGGTAATTGGGTGGGTTGGGGTTCTGGCGACCCCATTATGACTCGTCGCGATTGTTGTGCACCCACTGGGCGGGCACCCACTGCGGCTCCCGTTCCAGCGAGTTGATCTCGGCCAGCAGCTGGTGATAGGCGCGCTCCGTGTCGTTGTTGATGATGATCATGTCGAATAGGTGACCCCAACGGGCCTCCATATCCCTGGCCGTGGCAATGATGTCTTTGAGCTCTTCCTCCTGGTTTTTGGGGTATTAAAAAAAACAACAGATTAGTTACTATTTTGATAATCCTATAGCAGCGTACAGCGCACGTAAGCGTCGAAACGCTGGCAGCGCAGCGGCAGTGAAATTGCCCATTCTCAACTCACCTTGAAGGGTTCGCCGTTGCGCAGCTTCTTCTGACGCAGCTTGTCCAGACTGGGCGGCGCCACCAGCACCACATACGGCTTGAGGTCGGAGGCGCGCAGCAGCTTGAGGCTCTGCGGATGCAGGTTGAGCACACAGATCTTGCCGCTGGCCACCACCGTGCGTATGGCCTCCAGTGATGTGCCTGTGGGATGAAATTTAGTTAACAATCCAACCTTTTTGATCTAACTAAACTCACCGTAGTAGGCCTTCTCGTATTCACCGTGCTCCACAAAGCGACGCGCCAAAATATCCGCCTCGAAGGCCTGGCGCGTGATAAAGTGGTAATCCACGCCGGGCACTTCGCCCTCTCTGCGGGCTCGTGACGTGTCTACAGGAAATAGGAAAATACAAGGATTAATTGGAATATATTTTTTAAGAATTTTAGTTTCAATTTATTGGGTTGTTGGGCTTTTAGGGGAGGACCTATGGCTATTTGTCTAGCAGTTTCTCTGGGACTCTGAAGCTCTGAAGCGCAGCCTTTACCCTTGACCTGAGCCTTGGCCTTGGCCGGCTTGAGCCGCTCCTCCAGCAAATAGAAAACTGCCCAGACGGAAGAGAGTTAGACAGAGGAGACATTAAAGACGGAGGGAGCGTAAACGATGCAGCGGCTCATGTTAATAATACACAAAAATAATAAACCGCTGCATCGTTTACAGTCAGCTTAACCTCATGGTAACTGTTTCTTGGTTAAAGGCTAGAAATATGTAAACGATACAGCAGACTATTTAAATATTAAAAAAAAAATCAACTAGCCGCTGCATCGTTTACAGTCAATCTCAAAGCAACTTGTTCTTTGGTTAAGGGGTAAAATTAAGTAAACGATACAGCGGACCACTTTAATATTCAAACTAAAAAACCACTAGCCGCTGCATCGTTTACAGTCAACTTAACCTCAACTTGTTCCTTGGTTAAAGAGTAGAAATGTGTAAACGATACAGCAGGCTATTTAAATATTTTATAAAAAAAATCAACTAGCCGCTGCATCGTTTACAGGCAACTTAACTTCATACCAACTTGTTCCTTGGTTAAAGGGTAAAATTAAGTAAACGATACAGCAGACTACTTTAAAATTCCAACTAAAAAGCAACTAGCCGCTGCACCGTTTACAACTAGCTCCTTGGTCAATAAAGATCTTCACTCACGTGGCACTGCGGCAGAGAATCGCTCCGAGTCGGCCATCAGGCGTTGGCGCAGCTCGTGTCTGCCAATGTTGGGCGGGCCGATGAGGACGATGGGCCGCTTGTGGGTGGCGCGCGGATAGTAGAGGGCCACCTCCTCGTAGGTGAGTATCTCCTCGGGATCCGTTTCATCGGGCGCCGTGGTGGCGTAAAGGGGATACCTACAGAGCAAGGTGAATAAATAAAATAAAATAAATAAATATATATAGACTTAAGGACTTACCCCGCCTCGGAGCTGGCCTTCTTCTTCTTCTTGCGACCCTTGCGCGCACAGAGGAGCGTGGCCCCCTTGCTGCCCGAACCGTCCTTGCCCCGCGATCGCGCCAGTCCCGCCTCCTCGGCAATGGCCAGCTTCATCGTCTCGCGCTGATGCTGGAACGACTGACTAGGAATGAGACCGGCCAGCGTCTGGTCCTCCTCGCCCTCGCGGTACGCCTGCCACCAGTTGGGATCCTCGCGGCTGATCACGTGCAGCACATCGCCCTTCTGGAAGCTGATGCCCAGCTCCCGGCACGGAATATACAGATCGTCCTCGGGATCGTAGTCGAAGTGCGCCCGCACATGCAGCACGGCGGTATCGCGATGAGCTCCGCCCAATCCGGCGAGCGTTTGTCCCGCGACGACTCCTCCTCCGCCGCCCATCACTCCTCCATGGATGGGCGGACTGCCGGCGGGCACAATCAAGAAGGTCAGGGTGCCCTGCATGGCTCCCAACAGCGCGCACACCTCGTTCACCGTCTTGCCCCTGAGTTCCTGGCCATTCACCTCCAGGATCTCGTCGCCCTCGTGCAGCAGTCCCGACTTCTCGGCCGCCCCGCCGCGCACAATCCGCCCGATGACCACCGCCTCGCCCTCGTTGCGAACGGTGGCGCCCAGCGGCTCCGTCGACTTCTCGATCTGTATGATCCGTATGTTGTCGTTCTGATCGTTCAGCGTGCCGAAACACGCGCTCATCGGCAGATTGGACATGGGCATGGGCAGTTGCGGAGGCGGTGGCGACTCCCCGCGTGGCAGTGGCATTGCTCCGCGTTGCGCCAGCGGCGGTGGAACGACGGGCGGCGGCACCACCATTCCCAGGTTCCTTTTGGGTCCCGCCACCGGACTGCTGTGACCACTGATCAATCCTAATCCTCCTCCAGGGATCGCCGGCGTGGGCGTGGGCGTGGGCGATGGTGTGCCGTCCGTGTGATTGGCTATGCGATCGTGGGCCAGCAGCAGACCCTCCATTTCGTGGCTGGTCAGCAGGTTGCCCAGCTCGATGGCCGCCGCCGTATTCGACTGGGTCAGCAGCTCCACAATGTCCTTCTGCAGACCGAGGGCGCTGTGGTGCAGGGGACCGGAGTGGCGGGAACGCCGTCGCTGCAGGACGGCTGTGCGGGCGGCCAGGACATGGGCCACACTGGCGCCGGCCAGCACACTGTGGGCGGCCGAAACGCGACCCGCCAGGGTGCTCAGTCCGCTCTTGCTCAGCTGGCTCTGCAGGCGCGTGAGGGCGGCTATCAGCTCGCCATAGCCTGAAAAGATTGGGAAGTATGATAATTGGGTACAGTCATAATCATAAAAGAACTGCTTGCACTGCTTGCATTCAATTATTTGCTTTGCTCATAACTTTCTAGTGCATGGTCTGATTTGAAAATGTTCTTCTACATTTCGATAGGTAGTAATAAACACAACAAAGTGGCATTTACACTTTTACGCTTTTTTAATAAATATTTCAATTTTTTTTGCTGTAACTTGATAAAAAATGGTCTTACACCAAAAATACATACTGCTTTGAACAGATAACAAAATAATAAATAAATCCATGACACTTTCCGGGTGATCTTGAAAAAATAAAATTTTCGCCAATTTTCAATTTTTTTATAAGGGGGTACATCATGATTTTTTGCGAAAAATGGCAAAAAAATAAAATGTCCAGGTTTAAATGCCAATCGATTGTAAATTTAATAACGAGTTCAGAAAGGTATGACAATCCATATTTGGATCAATATTTCCATTGTTATGGTCAAAAGATATGGAGATCTCAGCTTTCATACGGACAAACAGACGGACATACGGACATGGCTTGATTGACTCGGCATCCTTCAACCTGTTACATACTTTCCGACAAACATAATATAACCTTCTTACTCTTTGGGTAACGGGTATAATAAACCCTGTACTCACCATCGATCTGCTCCACCTGCGTCGGCTGGTCGTCGTCGGGCAGATAGGCCTCATTCTCCACGCCCACCACCTGGGTGGCCTGCGTTGCCTGCTGCTGCTGCTGCTGTTGGGCCACCGCCTTGCCGGGGGGCGTGGCCGTGTCCTGGAGAGCCTTCAGCTTCCGGGAGCCACGCAGACTGTTCCGCAGGAACTCATTCTGCTGCGCTATGCGCTCCTCCTCCTCGCGTCGTCGGCGCAGTTGCTCCTGTAGAATGTATCAAATTGAAGGGTTTAGACTTTGATCTAGATTCGATGGGCCATTTAGGGGGGAGGGGGTTTAAGAGGTGGGCATTCCAAGTCAATGTGCAACTGGGGACAGTGACTGGGCGTTGACTCTTAAGTGGCGCACTTAATCCGCATTCGCCACAATCGCTAATTTAATTAGTGGCGCCCGAACAGGGGCCGCAGATTCCCTCGCAAAGAAGACAAACAAGAGCGGGAATTCAACTTCCGGGGCGCCCTATACTATATGCTTAAATGGTATTTGGGAAAATATACTAAGTATTCTATCATAATTTTAATTTCTAGTATTTTCTGGTATTTCTTATCTTTTAAACTTAAGCACTTGGAATTTAAGGCACGCATTTCTTGTATAAAAAAATATTATTTAAACCGGTTCTATGCATATTGATGTTTGTATTAAAATTTGATCCACTCTTCGGGATTTTATGTTAATTTTACAGCACTCTTTATTTTTATAACCTTGTTGATCGTGACACAATTAATTTGCAAAAGACGCAACTAATTAAAAGAAGATTAGGTAAACAGGTTCTATATATGTAGATTTAAACGATTCGATTAAAATTTGCCCCCATATCATATACATCAAGATACCGACTAATAAAGCCACCTTGACCATTTACAGGGTATCAATGCAACTGCAATGGCCCAAAAGGTGAGTGTCTTGCTGGGTGTTTTGGGTGTTTGGTGGGTGGTTAGCCCACTGTGCAAACCCAAGCAAATCCCGTCGGAGGCCCCGGCGATGAGTTAATGAGCGTAAAGGGTTGACAAAGGGAACTGGGGGGTTGCAATTGTTGCGGAAGCCCCTTAAGTGTTCGCCATTCATCGGAAAAGGGGGCGTGAATTCGAGTCCAGTGCCTGCCAAACTGCCAGGGCCAACAATTAATGCAATGCTATTCAGGCCTAAAACGTGATAAATTCCCGATTTCATGACCAACCAAAAAGAGAATGAAATCAAATCGATGACAACAATGAAGAGCAAAAGTTCCCACTACAAAAAAGAATAATAATAATACAAAAAAAAACAGAACAGCCACATGACAGAAAAAAAAACCTTAATTGAATAACAACAGAAAAGGCGCTCGACATTCCAAAAGGCGGAAGAAGCAAAGCAGAAAAAAAAGAAAAATTAAAACACAAGAGGAAAATAACAATGCAAAGCCACTAAAAAATGAATTCTGCTGAACTTGCATAATCCGAGCAGCAGAGAATCAGCAAAAATTTCACGAGTTCTTCAAGGGGCGGCGGATGGGGGACTTCGGGGAGGTAAGAGGTTGGAATGGCTATGGCTGAGAAATACCACTCAGCAGCCGAGAAAACGCCATGTGAACCGAAACTGAATTTAACATTGAAACCTGAATGAAAAACGATGACAGCGGTTCGGAAAAAAGACGTATAAAAAAGCCAAACCAAAACAAGAATCGTTCAAAGTCACAGCATCGTAAAAACTCAGAGGAAAAGAAAAAAAAGCATAAGATAGTACGGTTTGACAGCCACTGGTTGTAATGCTTCTCAAACTGCAGGGCATAGAAACCATTTAAACCTTAATTTTAATCAACAAAAATAGCTTTTCCATTTAAGATACAAATTTCCAGCTAAAAACGTATTTATGGGCGAAATTTGAGAACTTGTGAAACTTTTAATTATTAATTCTGCGAAAAACGGCTTTGTGCGCAAACAATGTGTAATCAATACCTATGCATTTTCCCTGTAAACCAACAAAATTTCAGGTGCAGTCAAAGGGATTTGAGTTTCCAGCCACAGCAATTAAAACCTCTGAGCCAACTCCCACGCAAAAACAAAAAATGAAGCTATAAATAGTCAAATGAAGCCTACAAAAGACCATCAATCATCTCAAATACCAGCAACACCTTGAGAAATTGTAAAATATAATAAAATAAAAAAGTAAAAAAGAAGGCATACTTCAAAGACAATAACAATTGTCGACGGCAACGCCATGACATCATCATCATCGCCATCGCCAACAAATGCCGGCATAAATAAATAACAAATATTGAAAAATACGCGTAGCGGGGAAATTAAAAATATATTACTGCCGATGATACTCTACATTTTCTGGGGTATGCTCGATGCCCTGTTCATCTTGCCATTATTTGGGCTTTTAGGGTATTTGGCTTTTCCTCGTTCGAGTCGACAATTCAGTCGCTATCGTCGCAGGTAAATTGTTTTTGCCTTTTTCGTTTTATTTCTAATTTTTATGGCCCGGCAGCCAGTTAGCCAAGTTGTCAACTGGTTGTTGTTGTTGTTGGCCGGGCTAGCTGACTGCTGCTGTTGTGTTGTCGTTAGCATTTATGCAGATAAAGCCAGTTGTCGCTGGCAACAGTGAATATATACAGTGAGATCTGATTCGATCCAGGCATATGCAGAGTTCGAAGTTTACATAAAAGTGTAACCAGTTAAGGTTAACACTTTCCAACGATCTCGCTACTCTTTAATTTTATCACCTTTTGTGGGTAAATATAAAATTAGCTTTAATTTAGGCTACAAAATATCTGGCCACACTTTAATTTCTTTAAAGTTTTTTTTAACCAGTTTTAAAGAATTTACTTAAAAAAAAATAAAAATTCCAAAATAAATTTGATCAGCTTTTTGGCTTAATATAAAATATGCTTTTAGTTATGAATTGGTCACACTGCTCCTGCACCTCTGGTCACACTATAATTTCTTTTCTTAAAGGAATTTGCTAGAAACTTTTTATTTTTTCACCTTTTTTCTACCAAAGGGCTTTTAAAATGGGTCTAAAATCAAATGTGGGACAAATATACTTCCTACAACGCAGACACTTGCCTGTTGTTGTCGCAAACGCGTCGAGGATCGCTGGATTTGGATGCCGCGACGCAGGGCGGAGGCGGTGCGCTGAGGCGTGGCAGTGACTGAGGCAGGTGAGCCGGCATATTGCTCGGGAGAATGCGGAGATATAGATCCCGGTCCAACACTACGACCAATTCCATTGCCATTCATATCACAATAGTCGCTGTTATTATTATTATTATTGTTCATGTGGTTCTCCTTCTCGTTCTGTTGCTGGTGTTGCAATTGCAACTGCTGGGCGGACAGGACGGCAAACTTGGTGGGCGATGTTGCTGCTCCGACAGCAGCAGCAGCAGCAGCAGCAGTTGCCAACGGTTGCTGCCCGCCGGCAACATTGCCGTTGTTCTCCAGCGTTATGTGCAAAGTGGACACGACCATTTTCGAATAGCACTTTCATCGATCTTTGTCTCTCCTAGCGAACCGAAACCGAAACCAAAAACTGTCACCACAGATGTTGCAGCAGCAAGTATGCAAATGGCCAAATGGCCACGCCCACACCTGGGCAGTGCATAAATTTGAATAGGGAATTGTGTGTTCCAAATGAAATGCAACTTAATGCGCATTTCAGCTCGAATTGCTGCCGTTGCTGCTGCAGTGGATAAAAAGCCATAAAAAGCGAAAGTTGAGCTGGCCGAAATAGTTCTGGCCCAGACACGCATCGCCAGCACAGCAGCAACATCTACAGCAGCAACAGCAACAGCAGCAGCAACACGAACAGCAGCAACAGCAACAGCTTTCCTTTCAGCTCGTGCAATTTACAACTATTTACTTTTACACATTTGTTTATTTGTTTATTTATGGGCTTTTTGTTATTGTTATTTTTTTTTTGTTATTTTTTTTGTTCAGTATTGTTGCTGCTGTCGCTCAACATTCAACGTGCCCGAACTGGGGAATGAGCCGTATTGCTGCTGCTGTTGACGCTGCATTTACGCTTGGCACATCAATAACAATAAGAAGCACTCGCACACACATTCACACTCATGGCAAGAAAAAAAAATAACAAAAAAAAAGGGTAAAAAAATACAGTTCAGTTCACCTCAACTGTTTATCATTTATATTAAAATTTTTCAGCTGCCTTTTGTAGGTATTTTCTGTTGTCTGCAGGCAAATTAACGTCGTGAGTCAGAGCAAAGTCCAAAGCAGGCGATCACTTGAATGGAGTATGATAAATATATATAATATTCATATTTGCAATAAGCATATAACGTATATTACACTTGATGTCCTTTTTTGATTCGTGTTTATGATCACTTTTTATTCATGTGCTTTCTCATTTTGAGTTTTGTATTTCACATTATTTCCGACTAATTTGCATTGTGAGTCAGAGCAATGACCAAAAAACAGGCAATCACTTCAATGGAGCATGCTTGGAATGTGCAAGCAACATGCATATGCTATGCATATTTCCCTGCTCTGGTAACACTTTCGCCCGCAAGTCCTGGCCTGGCCACACTGTTGCACTTAATCCTTTGCCTTGTTGGCCTGGCAGTTTGAAAGCCCCTATATGCTCGTAACCAATGCCTGTTTTTGCTTTTTCAATAAGGTCTGCCAGGTCTGTCTGTCTGTTTTTTTCGGGATTTTTCATTTATTTCACATATTTTCAGTGCTTTTTCTCTGTTTTGCGGTTACGCGAGCAGCAACTTTCCGTTATGGCTGCAACTGCCACGCCTGTTTTGCTGTTTTTTCCGTTGCTGCCCATAAAATGTTGTCGAATGTTGTAGTGTTGCCGTTTGGGGTACTTGGAAATGGCTGTTCGTGTGGCGGCGGTTGGTACGTGCTTTTTGGTCCCAGAATTTCTGCCAGTTATGGGCGGTTTTTGCGAGCCGCGCCTTATTTGCATGGCTTTAAATGCGCACAAACACACAGAGAATCTCAAACACACATTCAAAAAAAAAGTTCCTTTGAAAACCACTGCCTTTCTCAAAACAAAAGAATTAATTTCCATTTTCCGGGGAAAATGCATCCATTTAAGGTGCTCAATTTTCGTAGTAGACATACATATGCATATGGCCTTATCTAATCGGTTATCGGTTCTTTGTCACGCACTTGGCCCGAACAGAAATACGACAAAAAAATATATAAATGGGTGGAAAAAAATCAACAAAAATTGCGGCCGATCGCAGAACGCGTAGAAAAACAACTAAAAACGCCAGCTGAAAATCATAACAAACCAGCGCAGTCAGACGACGTCGAAGTCGACGTAGGTAGAAGCAGAGGCAGAGGCAGCGGCAGCGGCAGCGGCAGAGACAGAGGCGTCGTTGGAAGAAGGGGGGGCCCCAGAAGAAAAGAGAACAGGTGAGCAAAGAGGCCAGGTAAAAATACGTACATGTGTGCTAAGACGGCCTGGAGAGACAAATGCGCAAAAATGGAATGTTTAACTAATTTGCGAACATGCCTGGGACAGGGACAGGGATTAGGGGGGGGTTCGCAAAGGGGGTCGCAAATGGGGTGCTAACAACCGCCAGTGGCAACCAGTAGCAACCCCCTTCGGACGGCAAACAAACCGAGCAGAGCAGAGCAGTTCAAACAAAACAGGCAGGTTAAATTTAAACAATGTTGGCCACTCTATTTATACAAGATTTACGATAGCGATAGCAACGAGAGCGCGATAACCATGTCAAACATGATAAATCCAATGAGAATGGCTATTAATTATGGCCGTGATAAGATCCATGAGGGGGTGCAGCACTAATGGGCTTCAATTACAAAGCTGTGATGGTGCTAAGCCATAATTATAACACTGATTCGGGGAGATACTAAAGGGGAAATATGTGTACATCGAAAAAATCGATCACTTAAACTGATGTTATCGTACAAATGCGTCGACTATTAAAACGATTATTCTAATCACTTTTAATCATAAATGCCACAGTTGTCTGCAATTTCCAAGGACATGGCACAGACTTAATCTGTGCATAGGTAAATAGCTCTTACAATCTCTCCTAAGCTGTGCATTTTTTTTACTTTTCACTTCTCTCGGTACCCACAGATGCATGAAGGTAGATTTTATGTGCGTTCCCATTATCCATCGCCCCCCTTTTCACTCCCCACCCCACCCCCTCCCTCTGTGGCTTCGTTCTCTTAATGAGCTTACATCCATAATCACCACCCTCTTACGCTTTTCACACTTTTTCCCCAGCCCAATGGCTGTCAAACTGTATGGCACTAGTCGCATTCAGTTTTCAATTAATTACATTTAGCAAATGTGTTTTGTCTCCGTCTCTGTCTAGTTCTCTCTCCTTCCCCTTCCCCTCCCCGTCCCTGTTGCTCTATTTATTTTCCCATCGCTCTGTCTCTGTCTGTGTCTGTGGGCGTGGCTAAGGGCGGAACGCAACAATTCGATTAAAAGTTGCATAATTAATCATTGCATTAAACAACTTTTTGCCACCCGGCCCCCTGCTCGTGTTTGCTTCCTGTGAAACAACGCCTATGGCAAATTTATCCCCTTTACCCGCCCTTCTTGGTGAATCACCGCCCCCACTCCCCTGGAATTACCACCCACATGCCCTGCAGTCTTCCGAATGAATGCGAAATGTTTTACTTTTAAACGGCATTATAATTCCGCTTCCCTCCACATATTACCCCCGTTTTTAACCAGCTTTTAAGCCCCCTCCCCTTTTTGCCCCCACCTCTTTGCACTTTCGAGTGCACAGACAGAAAAAGTTGTTGGGCAACTTTTTTCACGCCCCCACACACACAATGCCATACTTTAAACGAAGCTACACGCCCTTTTGCCCCCGCCCCTGGCCTCAGGTTTATTGTCTTTCGGCGCGGTAAACTTTTTAATAGTTTTACTAGTTAAATGCAATGGTCAGGCAGTCGGGCAGACAGGCAATCAAAATCGGAAAAATTTCACTCTGCTCTTTATATATTTTGTAATTTTCTCGCTGATGATTACAGTTTGGCAGCCACTGGCCGCCGGCGGTCAATGGTCAATGGCCCCCCAAAGAAGTAACTGAAAATCCAACGATTATTGGGCGGAACAAAAGAACGTGGCCCAAACCGGAAGCGTTGCCCCAGACATTCATCAAAGAGCATTTATATTATGACAATCAGAGGGGCAGATGCCAGAGGAAATGGGCGAGCACCTGTTTTGAATGCTAACGAGCTGCATTCGAGCTTTGAATAAAGGGAAAATTCTAAACAAACGCACTATTATCGTAAATCACCAATTGCTTTTGTAATAGAGTGGGCATAGTATCGAAAAAATCGAAACAAAATTTTTAGAAATATTTAGTAAATAAATACCAATTGTCAAACTTTTCCTAAAAATTTAATTTTTATTTAAGAAGAAAATTAAGTTTAAGGAACTATTTTTAGAAGTTTTGGTGCTTTGTATTTTATAACGGTTAATAATAAATAGCCATTTTGTTTAGGATTTGTTGTCATAAAAGTTGTCAAATATAAGAAACTATTTATAAAATATTTTTCAAGCTAATCTTTCTACCGTTTCTTAAAACAACTAACCCCTATTGTTTGTCATTTTCAGCAAAGTCTCATTAAGACCCAAGAAATGGCCCAGAAAATCCGCAACAAAAGATTGCTTTGTGGGACATAATTTAAAAGTACTTTTATTTCCTAGTCTGCATTTCTCACACCTAAATAGGTAGGGTTTTTTTTTCACAGAAAGTCCACAGTTGCACAGTTTTCACACTTAATTTGTGAATTTTTCGTAGTCTAACCAGTAGGAGGGGCTTTTAAATAACAGTTTTGCAGCCACTGGCCAGCACTCACCTGGTATTTCTTGATGCTGTCCAGCTGCTCCAAAGTGGGCTCCACGATCTGTGCGATCTGCTGTTGCTGCAGCGGATGTGCTAAGCCGCCGCTGCTGCCGCTGCTCGCATTTCCCGGCGCCCGGCGATCCGGAAGTTGGGGGGCGGGGGAGCAGTTGACCAGACGCCCGTCCTTCTCCACCCGCAAATGATCACGTGGCGGCGGTACGGGCTTCGCATTCCCATTGAGCTGCGGGAAAAAAGGGGGAATCCCATTAGTTAAGCGCCATATTGCTTATCCTTGTAGTGTCTCCAGTGTGTGTGTGAGTGTGTTTATGAGAGTGTGTGTGTAGTATGGCTGATGGCTGTTGGTCATTAAAGTTGAATGAGTTTATTTGTTGCCAGTGTTCTGTGCATTTCCCTGCGAGATGAGCGAAAAAGGGCCTTAAGTTGGGTGAAAAGTGTACATGAAAATGAAACCTTCACCTTCTGGCAGTGGCGTAGATTGTGTATTATCAAGGGGGGTTGTAAAAAAATTAAATATTTTCTTGTTAAACTTTAAATAAATATTTTGAGCACCTAAAACTAGGCAATGCTATTCAAGATGTAAAGAAAACCATGCAAAACTATTAGAAAATATTCTTTAAAACCCCCTTTAACATCTACGCCACTGTGTGTGTACCTCTTTTGAAACCCTTTTTTTTGAAAACCCCCCTTGATTTTTGGTGTCGTTTACTGGCGAGAATTGTATACAATCCATATTTAAATGCATTTACTCCTCGATTCCTTTTATGCAGCGCATTGTCAGTGGGAAAATAAAGAATATGAAAGGCGAAGGCGAATAAAAAGGCAGCGGCGCTCATTTCGCTTTTTGTTCTGCAGCCATTGGAAAATTAATCGAGAGCAATTTCATATAAATGGCATTTATTTTTCATCGCCTGAAAGGAGCCTGAAAAAAGAGTGGGGAAGTGGGGGAATGGGGAAGGGGAAGAAGAGCTAGCTGCAAATGATGAAATAAGCGGAACAGCGGGCGGCAGCACCACCACCCACTGAGTGGTGGGTGGGTGGTTTCTGGTGGCTCAATGCTGTTAGGATTATGCCCCCGCTAACGAGGCCAACGCAGCGGCGGCTCTGATGCCGTGAATTAGGCCAACCGGCTGAACAAGGTGACAAACCGAGTGGTTTGGTTGAAAGGGGGTGTTCGAGGCCCCGGGGGATGTACAAATGGGGGCTACGGGTCAACTTGGGGGTCCGACCTGCACCGCCGGATAAAGAAAGGGAATAAATGCGTATGCGGCTGTACAAAAGGGGTTAAGTGGGGCGTCGCATTAATTAGCCGATTTGAGCGAACGCAAAAAAAAAAGGCAAAAACGCAAAGAGGTCGCTAAAATTATCGATCCATATTTTATAATACCCTCTATATGTATATGATGATATGCATACAATTTCCGGTTCTCTGGTCATTTAATGCAATATTCATGGAAACCCATTCAACTGTCATGTTGTTTCTATTTCAAATAGCCATTAATGGGGGGATTTGTGCGTTGTTTGCATCAAGGTTCTATGCTTATGTTGTCCTTATTATTTTCGGTGGCCAAAAGTGTGGATTATTGCACATAATCCATCACAATTATTAGCGTTTTACTAATTAAATTGTGACAAAAATGTTTTGGAAATAATGTAATTAAGTGGTTGAAAGGCTCTTAGTAAAAAGTGGAAATATAATAAATTTTAAATTAGTTTTTCCCTTGACTTTAAACACATCACAGACATCACACTTAAAACTAAAAGATTCAGACAGTTTAGAGAGCGAAACGGAGTGATAGGGTGGAGAACAGAGCGGAGAGTCTCCAGTGAAAAGTCGAGACAGATAGCGAGTACAAAATGCAATGTGGTATACCTCATCGGCCACCCGCCTCGCATCGCCGTCAGCAACACCAGAAACCGCAGCAGCAACACTTGCGGTTGCACATGCCGATGTTGCTGTTGCTGCTGCTGTTGCTGGTGCTGTTGCAGTTGCTGCTGCTGCTGGCGAAGGCGACACGCCCATCGAGGAGAGCGTCGTGTGGGCGGTGGAGGCGCTGCCGTTCGATAAAAGCGATCCGCGAGAAGAAAGGTGAGCAGGTGGCGGATATCTTGGCGGCGTCTTGACCATCTCGATAAAGCTGTCTGGCACATCCACGGGCAACTCGCGATGCTTGGCCATCGGGGGCAGCAACACCGTCACGGGAGCAACATGATGTTGCTGCTGGCTCACCTCGTAGCCAGGTGGCGCCAGGCTCAGATCATCGGGCACCGTTGAGCTGCTGGTCGAAGTGGCACTGGCAATGTTGCTGCTGTGTCCGCTGCTGCTGCTGTTGCTGCTATTGCTGTTGCTGGTGTGCATCGAGCTGTTGCTGCTGTTCAGCGAGTTGCTGTTGCTGCTGCTGCTCGTCACTCCCGCTACCGTATTGGTTTTATTCGAATCAGCTGTGTTGCTGCTGGTATTCCCATTACTGTTGCTGCTGTTGCCGTTGCTCGTCGCCTGATGTTGCTGGTGCAGGTGACGGTAGGCGATGCTGCCGAAGGAGTCGAGGGTATGCTTGCTCATCACCTCATCGAAGGCGCTCGACGAGGGCGAGGCGGAGTCCTTGCGCTGATAGAGACCATCGACAACGCAGAGGAAGTCGTCGGTGATGCTGCTGTTGTTGCTGCTGCTGCTGGTTCCGTTGGCATTGCTGTTGCTGTTGCTGTTGCCATTTGGATCGCTGCTCAGTGTTGCCTGCAACTTGTGGCTGGGCGTCTGTTGTTGGGCCACCTGTGTTGCAGTTGTTGTTGCTCCTACTGTTGTTGCTGTTGCTACTTGCAATTGTTGCTGCTTCTGCTTCTGCTCGAGTTGTTCGTTTGGTTGTTCCGATTGTAGGCAATTTTCATAGTTTTCAATTTGTTCCAATTTGTTTTGTTGTTTTTGATTGTACAGATTTTGTGTGGCCACATCGAGTGCAATATTTGTTGTTTTTGATGGGTGTTGTTGTTGTTTTTCATGATGTGGTGGTGGTGGTTGTTGTTGTAGTTGTTCATGTTGATGTGAAGAATGATATGCAACAATTAACATTTTGTTAGCATGATCATTGTTAGTCATAGCTGTGATTGTAGTGGTGGTGGTGGTGTTGTTGGTGGTGCTTTTCTTGTGTTTCTGTGTGCATGTGGGTTAGGTGGTGGTGGTGCATGTGGTGTGGTGAAAAGAGAATGGATGTATGTGTGAATGATTTGAATGTGAATTGGAGTGGTTGGGTTTTTTTCTATTTTTTGGTTAGTTTTTTTTTCAGGTGGTTGTTGTTTGCGGTTGTCGGTTAGAAACTACATTGGATAAAACTCTTTGACAGCATTGCCGAGTGGTTTTAAGGAGTTTTAAGATTTTTGGCAGTGGTTTTGGTTAGTTGATTGAGTTTTTGGTAATTATTGTTTCGGTGGTTTTCTAATAATACTTAGATTATTGGGTGGGTTTGGACAACTATTTAACTAAGAGTGGTTGTTGTTACTGATTTAAATATTTGGCGGTGCATTCAAGAGGTTTTCTTAGGCGTAAAATGTTGGGTTTTATAATATGTGATGATTAGTTAGCTTGATTTTGGTGGTTGTTGTTAAGAGGGGTTGATGGGTTTCCAGAATCTTGTTAGTAATTCTTGGTTATTATTGCAACAAATACTTCTGGGATTTATGCAAAGTTATTGTTGGCGTATGGTTTCTTCTGGCTGTGGAATTCGTGTGGTTGCTGTGTTGGTTGGTGGGTGGGTGGTTGGGTGTACGGATTCTGTACGGATTGCGGATAGCGGACTGCGGATTACGGATTGCTGGCGTGCTTACCTGCGGTGGACGGGGTGGCGGATATCTGGGTGGCGTCTTGTTGCGTGCGATGAACGTGTCCGGACAATCGACGGCCATCTCACGGTGTGGACCTGAAAGAAGCGAAACCGAGTTCAACGGATGGTCAGATGGCAGATGGATAGACACTCACCGTTATCTTGGTTCACGGACAGCATGGTCAGCATTTCCTGGTCAATCTCCCTGATGTCGCCCGAGTGCGTGCGATAGTGTTGCTGCTGGAGCGGATGTTGCTGCTGTAGCTGCTGCTGCAGTTGCAGCTGCTGCTGGTGGTTCAGGTGGTGCTGGCCGCTTATGTAGTCATCCGGCAGACATGGCTTCAAATCGTCGCCGTCCAGCACAACAATGCTCGATCCGGAGCGCCGGCGATTCCTGTCAATCAGGGCGAAAAGGAAAGAAAAACGAGCAGAAAGGTTAGATGTTGTCAATTGAGGTCCGGATACAAATCAGGTGCACCGGATAGAATCCAGGTCACAGGTTGAGAGTTAAGGAAAAAGCTCTTATTTTCTATCAAACATTTCTTAAAATTTAATATCCACTTTAATAGAAATTTAACTAGTTTCTCCCAGTGAATTTTCGGCTGCATTATTTCAATGCAAATTGACAGCTTCTGTCGATGGCAGCCATCAGCTCTCCTTTCATTTTGGCCCAGATGGCGGACACAGTTTGGCAGCCACTGGCCGGAAATCGGATGGGCGGACAGCCTCTTTTATTATTTCAAAAAGTTATTCCCGCCCAAAGAGACTTTCGCATAGGCGACTTGAAACTGGAACGCTACCCAAAAACTTTGTTATAACTTTGCACTTTTGCGTGGCTCTTTCATTATGCAAGGTGGCAGGGGAAATGACTGGTTTGAAGGCAATTTGCGCCTTAATTTGTTCGGCTTTTGGATTATGGACTTAGGCCGGGTTTCCGAGGAGGTGTGGAGTCGACTGGCTAATTGCAAAAAGCTCAAAGTGGATTTTATGCCGGACCAGCCCAGAAGTATGCACCCCCAATCGCTTTATCGCCCTTCTCCAGGCGCTGATGCGACAAAAGCAATTTCAGCCGCAGCCTGGCAACGACATCCAAGTGCAGTCGCGTAACCCCATCTCCATTTACCATTTACCATCTGCCATTTCCCTTTGGGATCCCTTTGCTCCCTTTGGGTAATGATGAACGTCAGCAGCAGCGTCAATACGTGACCAACCCAGCGATTCGTAAAGAGAAATGCATCACTTTGGGGATTTTCAGATCATATATTAAATAGCAATAAAATACTTTTTTCCAAAAAAAAAAAAATTGTTTTAAATTTGTTTTACCAACATTAATTATTATTTCATTATAAAAAAGGAATAATCAATTAATAATTACTTCTATTAATATACTTGAATTTTTTATTTTTTTTTTACTTGTAATTTTTTAACCTCTCCCATAGCAAATCCTTTAATTTCGAACCTAATAACTTGCAGTTTCGTTCCGTGTGCCTTTACAGAGATCTCCACTTCCTCCTTCTTCTTTTTTCTAGCACTTCCTACTCATTTTACTAGCGGAATTCAGCACTTTTCTCATAGAGAGGCCCTGCCATACAATGGCTGTGCGAGGCATTAAAAACCGATTTCTGGAGAATGCAGCGACGACAAGATGGCCAAGATGGCTCCCTTACGGCCAAAAGCAGGGAGATGAGATGAGATGGCGATGGCGATGGAGAGAATGTGAATCCAACACGAGGCAACGGGCGAGACAATTCAATTTGCGTAAGAGCAGACGAGTAGAAGTGGTAGGAGAACGGAGAACCAAATGCGAGGGGGGTTTGAGTTCGAGATTGGAGTCAAGTTAACGGGCAGTGCAAATGAGTCGAACGGACGAGAAGAAAAGACGGGAAAAAAAGCGAACCATAAACGAATTAAAATGCCTTTGGCTCTGACATCAAGAACAGACCAAGGCCAGTCGTCTAGCAACAGCAACATCAGCAACAAGCATTGCAACTACGGCAGCAACATTGCAGCAACAGCTGGTCAGCCAGTCAGCTAGTCAGCCCATTCCTATTTTTATCTCCTCATCAATCTGTCGACCTCTGAGAAGCTTTTACCCCAAGTTCTCCCTGCCTTTCGCAGATGTTTCGATTAGTGACGCACAAATTAGAGATAAAAGGGCGTTTTTATTTTCATTTTCTAGCCTTAGTATCAGTTTGCTTTAAGTGATTAAGTTCCCTTTAAATTCTTATTAAATTCCCTTCAAATTTCCTTTAAATTCCCTTTATATTCGCTTTATATTCCCTTTAAATTCCCTTTAAAATTCCCATTAAATTTCCCTTGAAATTCCCCTTAAATCCTAAATGCCTAAACAAATAAAATAGAAATCCTTAACCCCAAGTGTGACTTTCAAATGCTGAATCTATTCAATTATGCCGCATATCACAGCGGTCGGCAAACAAAATTAGTGAGATGGAGGTGCACATTCACATTCACTCACATTCGCTTTCGAGTGGCATAGCAATCGGCTGGCCCGGCTGTCATATCCCTATTTTGCCAGCAATTAGCAGCAACCATAGCCGGCAGCTATCTGTCATGCATCTGATTGTCACTTGGACATGCCCCGTCTAATGACCGCATCGGTATTCGCCTGCCCCAATCTCCCATTTCCCATCTCCCATCTGCGACTCCCATCCGCATCTCCATTTGTATCGGTATCTGTGTATCTATATCTGTGTCATAACAAGCAGAACAATGCGAGATGCCCGCAAATATCCCCCATTGTCAGAACAACCCATCCCCCATCCCCCATTCCCCATCCCCCTGATGGGATCATCAATAACCCGGAGGGGGAATGTCCAGTGGGTGGTGGGTCGGGTCAGTGGATAGTGAAAGGAAAGGATCCGACGGAGCTCGAGCTGTCAAAGTGGGCAATGCAAGCCCGCAACGATTCATACATCGATGACAAGGCAATGGCATTTTGCGGCGCAGTCATGTCCTTCTGTCAATCGCAAAAATATTTAAAACATTTCCCAGACATCAACTTGATCCTGGATTGTGATTTTTATTTTCTAAACTGGAACTACGGAAATACCCGTGAATAAATGTTATGTTATCCACTATGTTATTTATAAGTTTATAGGATCTAGGATCTTTTCTATGAATATATATTATATATTTACTTTAAAATGCTTTTAAATTTGGCAAACAATTTGTAAGATTTAATTTATTATTACGTTTCGAAAAATATTCTGATTAGCAATTACTTCCATATTAATTGACAATTTCCTGCCTTTAAACAATTTCGTTCAGTGCAAATTGCCGCAGGTTAAGGATGGCAATTAGCCACGATGGAGGGCGGTCGGAAAAGGGGGCGGGGCAGCGGGACAGCGATGAAAGGAGACAGATAAACGCAAACAACACATGGGGGAAACCATTAAATGTATTTTGCATTTCCAGCTGTCCGTCGGTGAATCTGTATTTGTATTTGTATCTGTATCTGTATGTGTGTTTGTGTTATCTGCCAGCGTGTGTGTAATGCAATTGCAGTGGTGTGAGTGTGGGCAACTGACCAGAAGAGCGACACACATTGCTGTTGCTGCTGTTGCTGCTGCTGCTGCTGCACGACAGCAACATGCGACATGTTAATTGTTTATGGCCAACAAGCGAGCACGAGACAAAAGTGTGGGGGTCAGGGGTTAATAAACAATTGCGGACAATAGGATAGCACTCAGTGAGCAAATTAAATATTTATACTTCAACTTAAATCTCTTAGCAGGTGCATACAATATTTGTCCTTGCTTTAAAGTTATGTGGTTTACATTAATAAAATTCAAAAATGATAATTAAAATTTTTTTTTATTATTTTATTTTTTTTTTTTTTTTTTTTTTTTTTTTTTTTTTTTTTTATCTTATTTGTTCCTACTTGTACTCTACGTTTTTAACCGTTAAATTGGCTGATCAATGTAATAAATTCTATGAGTTACACTAAAAAATAAATAATAAATAAATAAATATTTCTGTTTTATAGGTCACTAAATTCAAAACAAATAAGTTTTTATAATATTTTATGCTATTACTCCCACCGCAATTGCATTTCGAGCGTTATGAAGGGAATGGCAACAGGTGGACAGGTGGAGGGCGATATCCCCTACTAGCCGAAAGAGCCAACGATTTTGGGAGGGCTCATGCTTGAGGGCATGCAACAAGTGGCTGGAACAGGTGCAGTCCGAGGATCGTGAATCGGGAAATGGGAATCGGGAGTCCGGAGCGGGCGGGACCGGAAGAGGCTTATTTGCAGCGGAAGTGGCAGCCGTGAGTCACCCAGTTGCCTCGAATTCCAGACCACAATCCCCCATTAGACCATCTACCATTCCCCCCAGAATTTGTGGGTGTAACCCTCTGGCCAGAGACACAGAACTCAATTTAATTCACAACTCAGAACGCAGAAGCTCGAGAAACTGGAAATGAAACTCAAACTGAGAGATCGTAATGGATTGCGGTTGTGTGGCGGCTCCAGGAAAAGTGTTGGATAAGCAGAAGCGGCGAAGAAAACTGGTGGCCAACAGCTATTCATCTGAAGCTCAAGCTGAAGCTGGCATTCCATTTGCATTATTCATTGCCAAGGCAGCCACATGGGAATTGGGAATGGAAGTGGCAATAGCAATTGGAGCTGGTTTAATTGCCGAGCAAACCAAAAGCCAAAGTAATGCCATAACCAATAGTTGCGGGCACAGAGAGAAAATGTGACTGACATTGGATAATTTTGATATATTTCTTTGAGAATTAAATAGTTCATTAAATAGTTAATAATAATTAATAGTTAATTAAATTTATAACATATTAAATATATTTAAACTATAAAGATAAAATCTATATATAAAAAATCCCTCATATCTTAAGTTGTAATATTATACATATAATTCTATATATTTTCTCTCAGTGCCAACACAGCTCTTGGGAAATTTGCAATCGAAATCGCAGTCGCATCATCGATGCCGCTCAATTGCACACTCGATTCGCCACTCCAATTTTCTCTCGCCCTCCCTCCCTTTCTTTTGGCCCTCGAAGAAGGGAAAAAAGTTTTCCTGGAAATGCCCGAGTAAAATTCATAAGCAAATAGTGGTCAGGTTGGGAAATTTCTTAAGAATTAATTAAAACCTAAACACAAAGGCAGTCAAGGTGAAAAGCTCTTTTCGCCCAAAAGGGGGGTGAATGTGAGTGTGAATGCAGTATAATGAATAGGTATGGGTATAGGTATACTTATACCCTTTTCCCGCCCACCCGGCACAAATTTCAATTCGAATTTTCCGAGAGGCGAGCGGTGAGGGGCGTGGCTAATGTGGGCGTTCAATTAAAGTTCAGTCGAACTCATTTCGCCATTTGGCAAATTGAAATGAAACTTAATTGATTGTGGGC